GTTTACTTAGCCACAGCAATGTGTGGCTGGGTACAGCTAGTATCTATATACAAAAAATGTAAATGTTTGTTTGTTCAAAATCGATAATCTCTCAAAGATCTTCACCAATTGCTTTCAAATTTTGACACATCGTTCCATTCGCATCCGGACAGGTTCTTATGTACATATTATATAGATGTCACGTCTGTAACGGGAAAAAGCATGTTTTTTTTTAAACTGTGTTTTTCATATGAGGGAAATTTTCGAGACCTCTTTACCGATTACTTTGAGATTTTGACACAACGTTCCATTCAAAAAAGCGCGTTCTTTTTATATACCTACTGTATACATGCCTCATCTGTGACAGGAAAAAACATTTTTTTTTTTTTTATCAGTGTCATCTGTTGGAGGAAAGACCAACGCACGCTATAATCTCCAGAAGTTCTTCACCTATTGCTTTGAAATTTTGACACAAAGTTCCATTTGAATACGTGCATATTTTTATATACCTACCATATAGATACCACACCTGTGATTTTTTTAAAGCATCATCTCATGCACTTAATAGTAACACGCTGTACTAAATATGTTGCAATTCCATTTTAAAGTTTCTGATTGCATTGATAAATTGAATTTTCATCGATGTCGATTTATTTTCATTTTGATTTTATTATTTTGTGTGACATTGCATTGGAATTGAGCTGTGTTGTTTACCATACCGTTCATTTCGTGAGTATAAGTATATATGCTACACTTCTGGCAGGTAAAAACATGCTTTTTTGAAAAACAGCGCCAATGAGAAAAACAGTTGCACATGAGAGCAACACAGGCTATACTAAATATGTTACTATTCCATTTCAATGTTTCCAATTGCATTGATAAATTGAATTTTCATAGATTTCAATTTCCACTTTAATTTAATTATTTTGTGTGACATTGCATTGGAATTGAGCAGTTTGTTTACCATACCGTTTATTTCATGAGAATGGTTATTTTTTATTCTTTTTACATTTTTCATTTCGTTTATTAACTGTTCTTATTTTTCAGTAATGGGAACATTAGATCATTTGATGTTTCCATTTTGCTGATAGGAGCATCAGATCCCTTGGGAACGCACTGGAAGAGGAAGTGGGAAATGGTAGGGGGGGGACGAGGGGACGGAGAAGGAGGTAATGGTGGGGAGGACAAGGGGGACGGGGAGGAGGGTAATAGTGGGGAGGACGAGGGGACGGGGGGGTTGGGGGATGGTAGAGAGCATAAGGGGATGGGGGTAGAGGGGGATGGTGGGTAGGACGAGGAGACAGGAGAGTGGAGAATGATGGGATGGACAAGGGGACAGGTGAGTGGGGGGATGGGGGAGTGTGGAAATGGTTGGAAGGACGAGGAGACGGTGGAGGGGGAATGGTGGGGACGCGGGGACTGGGGAAGGTTGCTGTTGCTCAGCAACGCCTGCATGATTTGCTGAGCCACAGCAACGCGTGGTCGGGTACAGCTAGTGTTAAATAATTCTCTACTCAAGAGAAACTCTATATACAATTGCTGCTGGCAGCCTCTCATTGACCTTTAGTGTTATTTGGAAGTATTTTATTCATTATTAGTGACTTCACAAAATTAAACATCACAAATTTAATGTGGATAAACTCTGTGAAGGCATGGCCACAATTTGGCTGGATTCATTTTTTGCAGAAACATTCCGCGGTTATAAAACGCCATATAATTGGTGGTTAGACTCTGAGAAAACTGCTGAGGCTAGTACGGGTGGCCAGTCTGTGAAAGGCTATGTGTTTATATTATATTTTTTAATGAATTATTGTACAAGTTTATTTAATTTGATGGACTAGTGTAGCATTTCTGGTTCATCCGATTCGTGTAAGGACTAAAACATGTGGGGAAGACAATTAATTTATTTTATAGGATTTATTTTATTATTTAAATATAAATTATTTATTAATTTATTCTATAATTTTAAAATTAATTTATCGGGAGTTTGAAAGAATAACTCAGGTGTTGGTGAACAATGGATATAGCAATATATATATATAATATATATATATATATATATATATATATATATATATATATATATATATATATATATATCGTACCTAGTAGCCAGAACGCACTTCTCAGCCTACTATGCAAGGCCCGATTTGCCTAATAAGCCAAGTTTTCCTAGGGTTGACCAAAAACAGGTATTGCTTAGCTTAAAAAGCTAAGCTAAGCTATACCTGTTTTTGGTTATTTACACCTGACCAACCCTAGGGATGGGTTGGTCAGGTGTCGGCCTATATATCCTCCCCCTTCTCCCTTCTCCTTAGTCAGTCTGGTGTTGACAAAGGCTTTAACAAAGCCGAAACGTTCACCTCATTTCATATTTCTCTGTGGATTTTCCGCATAAAATGATCAGTGTTTTGTGATCGTCAATTGCATATATATATATATATATATATATATATATATATATATATATATATATATATATATATATATATATATATATATATATATATATATATATATATATATGTCGTACCTAGTAGCCAGAACGCACTTCTCGGTCTACTATGTAATGCCCGATTTGGCTAATAGGCTGAGTGATTTTCTTTATTTTCAATAAATTGTTTCCAATTAGTTTATTTCAATTATTAATATTATATTGTATTAGGAACATAAATTATTGACTTAGTTGTGTTAGTTTAGGTTAGGTTTAGATAGGTTAGGTTAGGTTAGGTAGGGTTGGTTAGGTTTGGTCATATATCTATGTTAGCTTTAACTCAAATTTTAAAAAAATAACTAATACATAATGAAATGGACAGATTTATCATTCCACAAGACAAAAAATTAGAAAAATATATATATTGAGGAAAAGTTGGCCTATTAGGCAAATCTGTTCTTGCATAGTAGGCCGAGTACGACGAGTACTCCAGGTAGAAGAGGAGTGTTCTTAACGCTTATGTCGACCGTGCTCTCAGCCACAGCTCAGGATGGAAGCAAGTCGATGAAGAACTCTGTAGGGTAAGGCAGGTCCTAGTCAACAACGGCTTCTCCAATGGTTTCGTTGAAGACATCATAGGAAGAAAAGTGAAACGCCATGCAACCTCTGAAGAGACAACTAACACAACACCTATACCCCCTATTAGACTATTTTTACAGGAACTTCTTTTCCACAGCTCATAAAATGGAGGAAAGGGTCCTGAAAGATATTGTTAATAGAAACGTTATCCCTACAGACAAAAATCAGAAGATACATTTGACGATTTACTATAAAACCAAGAAAACGGCCAACCTACTCATGAGAAACTCTCCAGACACATAGCAGAACGCTTTAAAAGAGACCAATGTCGTCTATGCCGTCAAATGCCCACTTGGGGACAGTAAGCCTCAAAGAACTCAGTATATAGGCAAGACAACAACATCTCTTTCCAGGCGATTAACGATGCATAAGCAACAGGGCTCCATTAAGGAACATATAATCTCTTCCAACAACCAGACCATCACCAGAGAAGTCTTAACAAAAAGCACGGAAATCATCGATAGATACAGCGATAGCAGGCGGCTTGATATCTGCGAGGCACTACACATTAAGAAGTCAACACCAGCAATCAACAGCCAATTAATGCACAACTATATTCTACCCACTTCAAGACTCTGCACCAATATAGAAGCATCGAGAAATATGGGCCAATAGGCCCACTGCAATTACTTCCATTCTTACCTTCAATACCCATTGTTTCGTGTTCTATAATGTGTTGAAAGTTTTTTTCACCTCATCCAAAACTGTTGTAACATATCACCTCACCCAAAATGCAGGTATAAAATGAAAAATGTAAGCTGTTTAAATCATAGCGTAAGTAAGAACTCTGTTTAGTGTTTGCAGGTAATAGTTGTGTGTGTGTAAACTAAAAGTCTTTGAAAATGTAATAAGTTATTACGAAACGCGTTCAAGTGTCGCGTCAGACTAGAAATAAAAATGAATTTTGGAGAATTGATTTTTCAATTATCATCAACAGTGAACAGAAACATAAGAAAGATCGAGAAAATTCGTGTTAGAATTATTAATCTTACTTTTTCGGTCATATTTAATAATATATGTCTACAGGAAAGACTGCTACCAAAATATACTAATATATATATATATATATATATATATATATATATATATATATATATATATATATATATATATATATATATATATATATATATATATACATATATATATATACACTCCATAGCATCGTGTGGTGACATTTACGTGTGGGGCTTCTGAGGAATATAACCGTGCCCGGGGTGCTCCAGCGACTGACTCTAGTAGTGTCTCTCTCCCAGTCAACACCTCCGCCACCAAGCCACCAACAACACCCTCCAAGCCAAGTACAGCGGCATTAAGGTAATCCCGTTTGTTTCTTAATGTTTATTTGAGAGCGCACTTAAAGTAACCTACAGTCATGTATAACTATTGATGCGCTGTGAAAATGGTTTTAGTTTCTCTGATATTAATGTAATTATTTACATTACGTAATGCAAAACGTAAAATAATTAGTGGCATTACTGAGAATATTCTGCGCTTTAGTATAACTTGTGGAAGAATATGGGTTTTGTGGGCTTTCTTTTTAGCCATTTTTTCTCCTAAAGGCCTCTCCTACCTCTCACTCCTACCTCTCTCTGATGGCTCTCTGCGATGCCTCTCTCTGATGCCTTTTTCAGATGCCTCTTTCTGATTCCTCTCTCACAAGCCTCTCTCTCTCCTGCCTCTCTCTCTCTCTCCTGCCTCTCTCTCTCTCCTGCCTCTTCCTCTCTTGCCACTCTCACCTACCTCTCTCTCTTGCTTCTCTCTGCTACCTCTCTCTCCTGCCTCTTCCTCTCTTGCCACTCTCACCTACCTCTCTCTCTTGCTTCTCTCTGCTACCTCTCTCTCCAGCCTCTCTTTCATGCCTTTCTCTCCTGCCTCTCTCTCCTCCCTTGTCTCCTGCCTCTCTGTCTCTCCTTCTTCTCTCTTCTGCTTGGAAAGTATGTCTTACGTCCTGATACACTTCCTGTCAGGTAGTTTACTCCTGATACACTTCCTGTCAGGTAGTTTACTCCTGATACACTTCCTGTCAGGTAGTTTACTCCTGATACACTTCCTGTCAGGTAGTTTACTCCTGATACACTTCCTGTCAGGTAGTTTACTCCTGATACACTTCCTGTCAGGTAGTTTACTCCTGATACACTTCCTGTCAGGTAGTTAACTCCTGATACACTTCCTGTCAGGTAGTTTACTCCTGATACACTTCCTATCAGGTAGTTTACTCCTGATACACTTCCTGTCAGGTAGTTTACTCCTGATACACTTCCTGTCAGGTAGTTTACTCCTGATACACTTCCTATCAGGTAGTTTACTCCTGATACACTTCTCGTCGGGTAGTTTACTCCTGATACACTTCCTATCAGGTAGTTTACTCCTGATACACTTCCTGTCAGGTAGTTTACTCCTGATACACTTCCTGTCAGGTAGTTTACTCCTGATACACTGCCTGTCAGGTAGTTTACTCCTGATACACTTCTCGTCGGGTAGTTTACTCCTGATACACTTCCTGTCAGGTAGTTTACTCCTGATACACTTCCTGTCGGGTAGTTTACTCCTGATACACTTCCTGTCAGGTAGTTTACTCCTGATACACTTCCTGTCAGGTAGTTTACTCCTGATACACTTCTCGTCAGGTAGTTTACTCCTGACACACTTCCTGTCGGGTAGTTTACTCCTGATACACTTCCTGTCGGGTAGTTTACTCCTGATACACTTCCTGTCAGGTAGTTTACTCCTGATACACTTCCTGTCAGGTAGTTTACTCCTGATACACTTCTCGTCGGGTAGTTTACTCCTGATACACTTCCTGTCAGGTAGTTTACTCCTGATACACTTCCTGTCAGGTAGTTTACTCCTGATACACTTCCTGTCAGGTAGTTTACTCCTGATACACTTCCTGTCGGGTAGTTTACTCCTGATACACTTCCTGTCGGGTAGTTTACTCCTGATACACTTCCTGTCAGGTAGTTTACTCCTGATACACTTCCTGTCAGGTAGTTTACTCCTGATACACTTCTCGTCGGGTAGTTTACTCCTGATACACTTCCTGTCAGGTAGTTTACTCCTGATACACTTCCTGTCAGGTAGTTTACTCCTGATACACTTCCTGTCAGGTAGTTTACTCCTGATACACTTCCTGTCGGGTAGTTTACTCCTGATACACTTCCTGTCGGGTAGTTTACTCCTGATACACTTCCTGTCAGGTAGTTTACTCCTGATACACTTCCTGTCAGGTAGTTTACTCCTGATACACTTCCTGTCAGGTAGTTTACTCCTGATACACTTCCTGTCAGGTAGTTTACTCCTGATACACTTCCTGTCGGGTAGTTTACTCCTGATACACTTCCTGTCAGGTAGTTTACTCCTGATACACTTCCTGTCGGGTAGTTTACTCCTGATACACTTCCTGTCAGGTAGTTTACTCCTGATACACTTCCTGTCGGGTAGTTTACTCCTGATACACTTCCTGTCAGGTAGTTTACTCCTGACAAACTGCCTGTCGGGAAGTTTACTCCTGATACACTTCCTGTCAGGTAGTTTACTCCTGATACACTTCCTGTCAGGTAGTTTACTCCTGACAAACTGCCTGTCGAGTAGTTTACTCCTGATACACTGCCTCATAACTGTTGGAGCGACACTTATCAGATGTAGAGCTCCTTGACAGAAGTACATTATGGAAGCCCAGAGCTTCAAGGAAGGCGCATAGTCTCACGGCAAATATAGAGTCTCATGTCAGGTTTAGAGCCTCATGACAGGAATGGAAACAAATGCCTTGTATACAGCCTAAAGGCAGTTGAAGAGTCTTTCAGAAGGTAAAAAAATCTAACGCAGGTGTAGAGCCGATTGGGAGGCCAACAGCCTCTCGTCAGGTGAAGACAGGGGCTTGTACATGTCATCAACAAACACACCTCATTTATGTCTTATACCCAACATAATCAAATCCTTTATCACCTCTCTTGTACCCACCATCAACACAGTATTGGTCACCTATCTTGTACCCATCATCAACACAGTATTGGTCACCTATCTTGTACCCATCATCAACACAGTCTTCATCACCTGCCTTGTACCCAACATCAATACAGTATTGGTCACCTATCTTGTACCCATCATCAACACAGTATTGGTCACCTATCTTGTACCCATCATCAACACAGTATTCGTCACCTATCTTGTACCCACCATCAACACAGTCTTCATCACCTGCCTTGTACCCAACATCAATACAGTATTGGTCACCTATCTTGTACCCACCATCAACACAGTATTGGTCACCTATCTTGTACCCATCATCAACACAGTCTTCATCACCTGCCTTGTACCCAACATCAATACAGTATTGGTCACCTATCTTGTACTCATCATCAACACAGTATTGGTCACTATCTTGTACCCATCATCAACACAGTATTCGTCACCTATCTTGTACCCACCATCAACACAGTATTGGTCACCTATCTTGTACCCATCATCAACACAGTATTCGTCACCTATCTTGTACCCACCATCAACACAGTATTGGTCACCTATCTTGTACCCACCATCAACACAGTCTTCATCACCTGCCTTGTACCCAACATCAATACAGTATTGGTCACCTATCTTGTACTCATCATCAACACAGTATTGGTCACCTATCTTGTACCCATCATCAACACAGTATTCGTCACCTATCTTGTACCCACCATCAACACAGTATTGGTCACCTATCTTGTACCCATCATCAACACAGTATTCGTCACCTATCTTGTACCCACCATCAACACAGTCTTCATCACCTGCCTTGTACCATACATCAATACAGTTATCATCACAGTCATCAGGAAGGAGTTAACGTTCTCCTTGATTTCGTCTATGGATTAAGTTTCCATTTATATTGTTTCTTAGAATTTCTTTACCACGTTTACACAAATTTTAAGACTATAGGCAAATATTATATAGAATTACTAGAACATGCAAAATATTTCAAACAAATGATAAACAATATATAAATAATAAACTACTGGGGCCAATGTCACCTATGCTAGGAAACTACTGAGGGTAGAACGACTCTTCTTTCAGAATTTCTTCAACCAAGGAGCCATTCTTCAGACACCCGCGAAAAGTGCCACCTTTTAATAGTAACCACAACAGATATAGTTCTCTTTGTTTGGGATCTACCGCAGCCAAAGCCACCTTTGTCTGGGAACTACCGCAGCCAAAGCCACCTTTGTCTGGGAACTACCGCAGCCAAAGCCACCTTTGTCTGGGAACTACCGCAGCCAAAGCCACCTTTGTCTGGGAACTACCGCAGCCAAAGCCACCTTTGTCTGGGAACTACCGCAGCCAAAGCCACCTTTGTCTGGGAACTACCGCAGCCAAAGCCACCTTTGTCTGGGAACTACCGCAGCCAAAGCCACCTTTGTCTGGGAACTACCGCAGCCAAAGCCACCTTTGTCTGGGAACTACCGCAGCCAAAGCCACCTTTGTCTGGGATCTACCGCAGCCAAAGCCACCTTTGTCTGGGAACTACCGCAGCCAAAGCCACCTTTGTCTGGGAACTAACGCAGCCAAAGCCACCTTTGTCTGGGAACTACCGCAGCCAAAGCCACCTTTGTCTGGGATCTACCACAGCCAAAGCCACCTTTGTCTGGGAACTACCACAACCAAAGCCACCTTTGTCTGGGATCTACCACAGCCAAAGCCACCTTTGTCTGGGATCTACCACAGCCAAAGCCACCTTTGTCTGGGATCTACCACAGCCAAAGCCACCTTTGTCTGGGATCTACCACAGCCAAAGCCACCTTTGTCTGGGATCTACCACAGCCAAAGCCACCTTTGTCTGGGATCTACCACAGCCAAAGCCACCTTTGTCTGGGATCTACCACAGCTAAAGCCACCTTTGTCTGGGAACTACCACAGCCAAAGCCACCTTTGTCTGGGAACTACCACAGCCAAAGCCACCTTTGTCTGGGATCTACCACAGCCAAAGCCACCTTTGTCTGGGATCTACCACAGCCAAAGCCACCTTTGTCTGGGATCTACCACAGCCAAAGCCACCTTTGTCTGGGATCTACCACAGCCAAAGCCACCTTTGTCTGGGATCTACCACAGCCAAAGCCACCTTTGTCTGGGATCTACCACAGCCAAAGCCACCTTTGTCTGGGATCTACCACAGCTAAAGCCACCTTTGTCTGGGAACTACCACAGCCAAAGCCACCTTTGTCTGGGATCTAACGCAGCCAAAGCCACCTTTGTCTGGGAACTACCGCAGTCAAAGCCACCTTTGTCTGGGAACTACCGCAGTCAAAGCCACCTTTGTCTGGGATCTACCACAGCCAAAGCCACCTTTGTCTGGGATCTACCACAGCCAAAGCCACCTTTGTCTGGGAACTACCACAGCCAAAGCCACCTTTGTCTGGGATCTACCGCAGCCAAAGCCACCTTTGTCTGGGAACTACCGCAGTCAAAGCCACCTTTGTCTGGGATCTACCGCAGCCAAAGCCACCTTTGTCTGGGAATTATCACACCTAAAACCACATTTAAGAATTAACGTGGTTAAAGCCACTTTACCCGGGAAACTACCGCTGTCAAAATAAGTTTTCTGCAGAATTTCATGCAAATTTTAAAAATAAAAAAAATCATAATAATAATGACAAAAGATTAACATATTATCTATATACCACCTATTATAACATAATAATGTGTGGAATGATTTTAAAGTAATACTTACTTATATTTTTGTTGACAACTGTTGTATGCTTAATAGTAATGACAATATGTTTAATAAAAGTGTCAAATACACTGTGCTTCATATAACAGAGGAATAGTGTGCTTCTTATAATAGACAAATAAATATAATTTATATTTATAGTTTAAAATAGACAAATAAATAAATAAATTTGTTTATTTATAAATATAATAAATACAATATTCATATAACAGATGAATATACGTGTGCTTCATGTAAAAGACAAATGCAGTGTGCTTTGTATTAATAGACAAATACAGTGTGCTTAATGAAATGCTGTAGATGAATACAGTGTGCTTCATATAACAGACGAATACAGTGTGCTTCTTATAATAGAATCCAAAGTGCTTTGTATTAGTAGACAAATACAGTGTGCTTCATATAACAGACGAATAGAGTGTCTGGAATGGACATTATATTTGTGTCGGAGTACTTAGACAGCGAAGCTTTGGGCTCTCGCCAGCCGCACGATTTCTGTATACAACCACCAATTTGTTGTGCTTCATATAACAGTCAAATTCACTGTGCTTCATATATCAGATGAATATAACGTGCTTCATATAATAGACAAATACAGTGCGGATCATATTACAAACAAATACAGTGTGCTTCGTATAACAGACAAATGCAATGGGCTTCATACTATAGACGAATACAGTGTGCTTCATATTACAGACGAATAACGTGTGATTCATATAATAGATATATATAGTGGTGCTTTATATAACAGATGATTAAAGTGTGTTTCATATAATATAAAAAACAGACAGATACAGTGTGATTCATATAACAGATGAATATAGTGGGCTTCATAACAGATGAATATACTGTGCTTCATTTAACTGATGAATATAGTGTGCTTCATATATCAGATGAATATAGTCTGCATCATATAAGAGACAAATACAGTGTACTTCATATAACAAATTAATATAATGTGCTCCATATAATAGATGAATATAATGTGCTTCATTTAAGAAATGAATATAGCGTGCCTCATATACCAGATGAATATAATGTGCTTTATATAACAGACATATTCAGTGTGCTTCAAATAATAGACAAATACTGTGTGTGCTTCATATAAGAGATGAATATAGTGTGCTTCATATAACAGACGCTTACAGTGGACTTCATATATTAGATGAATACAGTGGGGCTCATATAATAGATAAATACAGTGAGGTTCATGTTATAGATGAATAGAGTGGGGTTCATATAACATATAAATAAAAATACAGCGTGTTTCTTATAAAAGAAGAAAACAATAGGTTTCATATAATAGATGAATACAGTGTGTTTCATATTACTGATGAATGCAGTGTGCTTAATATAGCAGTAGAATACAGTGTGTGTGTCATATAATAGAAGATTCAGTGTGCTTTATATAACAGACACATTCATTTTGCATCGTATAACAGAAGAATGCTGTGTGTTTTACATATCAGACAAAAACAGTGTACTTCATATAATAGACGAACACAGTGTGTTTAATATAATAGACGAACACAGTGTACTTCTTATAATAGACGAACACAGTGTGTTTCATATAATAGACGAACACAGTGTACTTCTTATAATAGACGAACACAGTGTGTTTAATATAATAGACGAACACAGTGTACTTCTTATAATAGACGAACACAGTGTGTTTCATATAATAGACGAACACAGTGTACTTCTTATAATAGACGAACACAGTGTGTTTCATATAATAGACGAACACAGTGTGTTTCATATAATAGACGAACACAGTGTGTTTCATATAATAGACGAACACAGTGTGTTTCATATAATAGACGAACACAGTGTGTTTCATATAATAGAAAACAAATTGGTGCGTCATATAATAGAACATTACAGTGGGCATCATTGAGCAGACAAATACAATGTGCTCATAATAAAATACAGTTTGCTTCATATAATAGACGAATTTATGCCTGATAATATAAATTATATCATGTTTCCAATTATAGACAAATACAACATAACTCATCACAC